GCAGGAAGAGTTACCTTTATAACATATTGGGGCTTTTCCAGGTTTTCAGATGGCTTAGCTGCATGACCTGGTGACAATTTGTCAAAGAAAGCTGGAATACGCGTTGTATTCATAGTCAGAAGTTATTAATTTCACCAAATAACATGTTTGAGATTGAATGAAACTATGTGTGAATTAACCAACGTGTACAGGAAAGGCAACTGGCACTACATGGCTGCGAAATGACTGTCCAGATGAGGACCTGCATCACAGTGCAGCTGCTTCTCACACCATATGACAGGAACCGGTGTGAAAACTATTACTGCCAGGGAGGACAGCAGAGGGGAATGTTGCACACCCACATGGCGTCACCACTTCCCTCTACTATGTAAAATGAAGCCAAAATATTGTGAATACAGAAGCTGCCAACGTACTTATTTGCAACCAGATTTTGCACAGTAGCCACCAGAAGTGGAGTGACAGCATCAGACTGCCAGTCAAAGCGGTCAAATCAGTTAAAATACACCTCTATTTATAACATCCAATAACTTACTAACAACAAACTTACCAGAAGAATGACCACTGGTACATACATCAGCATGACAATATCTACCAAAGACCACAGAAATGACCTCTGGAAAAAATTAGATTTGACTCATGTCCTATGAACTAACATGGAGGAGGTGGGATTTGTGACCTATACTGCACCCAGCTACCAGGGGGACAATTACGTCACAGTGGCTTGACTTAGCCTGTCCATCATTTTTACAGTCAAGATGATGTGCACACCCCAAAGTGTTTGGAGAAGAAGCTGTGTTCACATGAAACATTGTTTGAAGTAGTCAGCACCTGTTCTATACATAAGTCATCATAAGGAGTAAACTGTTTGTTCTAAAGAGCCTGAGCTTCTTTTGAGACACTGTTGCTGCTGTTGGACTTTTTTAACTGCATTTTGCAAGAGCGTTTTAAACATTTTGACCAGCAGTTTTTATCAGAAAAAGACTGGCTACTGGTGAAAATGGGCTAACTTTGTATAGCTACCAAGCTTCAGACACTAACGTTAATTTTAGTCCAGTTGTCTTAATGCAGTGTCAACTAACTTGCTTCCCTGGCTAAAGTAACCTAATTTGGTATATTATCTGCGTTAGCAAAAAAGCCGTACTTCATGTATTCTTTTTTGCAAGGTAACAATAGCTGTAGCTACCACCTCTAGATGAAGTGAATTATCCATTCAGCTGTTTGATTAGCTCGGCGATGCTGTCGCACACCAGTCACACAAATGTTTGTCCAATCACTGATTGTTGATTGAGAGGTCATTCTTGTCACCAGCTTCTATTTTAGTTTGCGATTATGTCGCCTCTCGGTTTTTTCCAGCACTTATACTAACATTCATTCTGATATGTTACCTTTATGTTCATTTGACTTGGGCGCTGTGCCTAAGCCTCTCTATGGTAGGGAAAACCCAACTTATATCAAGGTACATGATTTTTGGTACATTGGGGCACCCCAGGATTTTATACAAGTAAAAGATTTAAACAAATTGAACTTCCACATTTTTAGTACTTTTCTCTCTCGCTGACAGTATCCCTTTGAAACTTTGCCCTGAGGTGCAAAAGAGATCTTAGAAAACACATTTCACAAAACATAGTTCATAAAAAATGACAAAAGAGAAAACACAATATTTCACAAAATGCAACAACAAAATACAAGACACAACATTTCAGAAAACAGCATTTCTAAAAGCACATCAAAAGAGCAAAACCAATAACAAAAGATAATAGAAGAGGAAAAAATACAATTTGCAGTATTATTTTTCTTCACCATTTGTGCTGCTGTGACAGTTTACAGTTTTATTTGTGTGTTTTTGGTGTGAGGACCTGCCCTGGATGTCATAATCATATCACCATCTCTATCACAAATAGTAGAAATCAAAACTCTTATTTATCCAAAGTACTGATAATTAAGCCTGTCTCATTAGTGACATAATTGGAAATGTAATTAGCAATGGTAATAATTATTGCATTTAATACCTTTTTCTTTTTAGTTATCAAGCTCATTCAAACTGCTAATTAGCAAGTCATGAGAATTTTATACTTTTGTCCTAATCATTTTGGTTACCAATTATTTCAAGAGTGCAAGAAACTAATTTTTATCACCCAGTAACTGCAACATTGCTTTGTTTGTTTGGCATGAATATAAGGTATAGTATGTATATTATCATTTTAGATGCAGACATTTTGCCTGGATCTGAAATTTATGTGACTGCTTTGAAGATTTATACATTTATATTGAAACTGTCATATGTTATATTAGCAATAACATCCTTGGTGCAGTCTGGTCAAATACTTTAAATCTCCCATTTCAAATAAACTGCAAATGATGGTAAATGGTTGTTTTTATGTTTATCTACAGATATCAGATGGCAGCAGAGTGAGCGTCGGCCAGCGGCGATAACTTTCTGTGGATTTAGCTTCAGTACAGATTATTCAAGGTGAGTGTTGAACTTACGTTTATGTCCCATTTCCCATACACTTTCCCACTGAATTGAATGGCAACATGTTTCCAAACGTGTGACTTGTAGTGTACATGGTGAACCAATATTTGCTGTAAATGTAATAGCAAATGTATTTAATAGCTGAGAAAGCGATGGGTAAAAACTTTGCATGTATAAATTAGGGCTAAATTGGTTTGGCTGCATTGCAAGATCCAACGGATCATAGTGACTTTGAATACAGATGTCATTCATTTTCTGTTTCTGTCAGTGCAAAAGAAATTATTGTAATAATTGACTTAACTTTCACAAGCACTAAAAGCAGCTTGTAATGTGCAGTACTGCTGTCTGTGATTCATGTTAAAGTCGCACCTCTGTTTCGTGGAACAACTTAATTGTCTCAAACATGTGCACAAGCACCACGCACGAGTCATGATACCCCAAGGCCTAGATTAATTAAGCTATGAAAACCCATGAGCGGAGAGCATTCAGCAGGTGCCTGTTTGCCTTGGTATGGGACTTGTTTTTGGCAGTGGTGCAGTGGCTCATTATAAATCTATAATTAAGTTACATTTTTATTTGCTTTTTTAGCATACTGTCATCGGGGATCAAAATGGCTTAAACTCTTTTTTGTCACTTAAATTCTGTTAAGTGGACTCTTGGCTATATTGCTATTGTGTCCTCTTTTCTTTGTCAATTATACTTTGACAAATGTTGAAACTGAGAAACTGAGAGCGATACTGTATGTGTCATCCACTGGCTGTTACTCTATGCCTCCTACAGGTGTTCTTGTTTTCAACTTGCTGTTGAGGGACATCTTGTAATTCTTAAAATCTCTTGATTTGTTCTTAATCCAAAACAAGCTGATTTGCACACCCCACCTTCCTCCCACCCTCTGTACCTCAGCACAAAACAAACATTGCACCCTCCTGCTGCCTGAAGGGACGGTCCTCAGAATCCCCACTGTTCAGCTCATCTCGTATTGGAGTGTGTTGGTAGCACTAAGTGAATGTGAAGGAGCGGCTCTCTCACGGCAACGTCTGTTGTTTTGAGTCATCTGCCAGAAAATCGGGAGGGCGAGGTGCACAGCGGGGGCCAGAAGGAGGGATGAGCAGGGCTGTGGGATAGAATCCCCCTGCCTTGTAGGGTGGTCAGACTGAATGAGAGTCACCACCATGGTGGGAGCATTTGCCAAGAGCTTGCTCAAGCTAACAATGAGGCCTGTGGAGGGGCAGCCTGGGCAGGAAATTGAGGTTAACAACATTGTTACATATTAAACAGGGCTTGGCCGTGTGTTTAGGGTGTGGAATGACAGATCCTTGAATAGTCCACTATAAAAATGTATTAAATCACAGTATTTGTGATTTTTAGTCAGGTCATATTGTAATTGCTGTGAAATGCCACACAGACATTGTGTTTGGTTTTCTTAGGATTATTTAATTCCAGTCCATAACTGTTTCTATAAAGCAATATTCATTTCCTAAAACTCACTGAATACCAGCATAGTTCCAAACAGATGCTCATATTTACCTCTCAGTGGTGTGTAAAGGATTTTTAGTTAAAATACACTATAGTTAAATCTGAATTTAACAATAAATCATCAAACTCTCTTCAGTTGTGAATGTGTGCCTGTTGTACATTACAGTAACAGGTCTTATGACTGGTTTTCACAGCTCAAGCCTTACAAGTGAATCTCAGTACTTTTCCCCTACTGTGGTTCGCCCAGGGGAGAGACGCCTTCTACATGTTGTAATAAGGGTAGCTGATATAATGAAGGTCATTGTAATCAGAGCTAATGTGCCAAGGAGTCAAGACACTGTAGCTTTATTTGCCAGCAAGGCCCGGCATTTGGTACCCATGGGGATCAGGCTGATAGTGTTATCTTTGCTAACCTGACTCTAATACAGGCCTTGCTTTTCTGTTTGTGTCAGTGTTGGAGCTGAACTTTTCCCAGTGATCCCTTCCATGTGTGGATGGGCATGGGTACGGAGCAGTGTGGAGCCCACCACACTGCTCCGTCCTGGTTAAATCCCATCCCATTGTGTTTGGCTTCTCGGAGTTCACGTACTGTATTTAAAGAGCAGCGCTCCCTCTCTCTGATCGTCTGACTCACGTAGGCTTCAACTGAACGTACTTGACATATAAAACATTACATTGACGTCCGCTGAGGACCGGCTCGTAAGAGATGACCTCTAAATCTAATCCCGTCCCTCAGGATATGCAAATGTCCTCAGCTCCAATTTGATTTGTTTTTGTGAGTTGAGTACACAGCAGTTTGTTTACAACTGTTTTCCAATACAGTGTGAAAACCGGACGGTGCCTATACAGTATGTACTTTATAAGATGTTTTACAGCCTTGCTCAACAGACAGTTTTAAAGGTCTTGAATATATTTACCTTACATTTTGCCATTGAAATCATTTTTTTTCTCAGCTTATCATTCTATATGAAGATATACCCAAGGCTTGGCTATCAAACTGAAACCAGTTGAAGTAATTTGTAAAATTGATTAATAGAATAGAACATGCTAGGATTTAAATACAGAAGACTATTGTTAAAAATTTAAATGCTGTACATCTGTCTTGGTCATCATTTTTTATTTATGAGAATTTTAATCCAGATGACCCATTTGTGACTGGATTATTTATCGGGAACCCCAAAGTCCATAAAATCATAAACAAAACCCATCTCTAGTGGGGGATCCTCAGCAGAACCTGATTACCATTTCTCTTATGTTTTATACTTTGCCATTTTAACGCACCGCTTTCTGTAAGGAACATCAAAGACCTTTTTTCCTATTCATCTGAGCACCTCCAGGAAAAAGGCTACCCATATCTAACCCCATGCAAGTCCCCTGGTCCCATCATTCAAACTTTCAAGCCTCTCTTTGTGGCTTCCTAGAGGACCACGGTGAAATGATCTCTTTTGTTTCGCATCATTAGTTCCATCTGTTGTGCGAACAGGCCTGTCTGTTCCGGAGCATGGCAATGTGATGGTCGCCAGGGGCGATTGGAGACGCTACTGTCCCGGTGGCTTGTGGCTCAACCTCCACCACCACCATTGCCTCGTTCGTGATCTCCGTGACCCTCTCACACACACTTAACTGTTTTTTTTTTTTTTTTTTTTTTCCGTCCACACACCTAAGCTGCTACAACCTTAGAAGTGCATGGGTGCTTGTTATGCATGAAATAGTTAATTTAGTTGCTTTTTGAAGTAAAGAATTTAGAGACATGATGTTATTTTTAATAATGTTACTGATACACTGTAGCTGAAGAGCACAGTTTATAAAGTTGTAATGGTGAAACAATGTATGTAAACAATTTAAAATCTCTCTGAATTGACAGTATGTAAATAAATACTGATCGCCCAACATGTTAGTTTCTCATTGCATGTCCGCCCTGTGTGGAAAAGAGGCTTTAACAGGTCAGATTGTGGGCTTATTTTGTTGCAGTTGGGTGTAAAAGATGCACCAAACAGATGTAGGATATTCTCTCAGCAAGGAAATATTTTATTCATGATTTACATGAATGATAAATCTTCTGAAAGTCTTAGTGCTGATGGGCATACACAGTTTAACATCTGTCTTCCTCAGAATAATCAATCGTATACCAGAACACTTGGGACTTAGTGTTGGATTTTTCCACTCTCTTTGCTTGATCCAATAACTTCTATAAAAGCAAAGCATTCTTAAAGACAACTATAATGATGAAAATACAGCTATATGCCCAACTGAAGAAAAACCTAGGCAAGATACAGGAGAATCTTGTCCTTGTACAGACTGTTTGTTTAGCCCTATCACTTTGAAACCATGCATCCCCAACTGTACCTATGACAGGGAATTGTGGCCTTGCATTCTAACTATAGTTTGTAATTCTCAAATGAAGATTCCTTTAATGTCTCCAAGTGAACTGTTCTGGTCTTATCGCTATAGTGTGTAAAGCACAAGGGCATCTATGTGCATGTCAGTGTGGAGATCACCAGATCATTTTCATTGAACACTCGAGCCATCAAAGGTCATAGACATCCAAATGACCTAACCTTGCAATGCAACACCTGGGTGTAAAAGTGGACTCATCCTATCTACTGGGATCGGTGTAAAGTACCTCTAATGTATAAAGTGCGGAAATAAAATAAGAGTTATAGGCTGGTTGGAGGAGGTTCAGTGTGGGCTAGAGAATAGTGTAACTCTATAGGGTGAAATAGCTGTGTTGGTATCACTCGAGGTGACAGGCTATTTCCAAAGTGCTGTATTTGTTGGAACCATTATGAAATCACTGTAGCTGAAGAGCACAGTTTATAAAGTTGTAATGGTGAAACAATGTATGTAAACAATTTAAAATCTCTCTGAATTGACAGTATGTAAATAAATACTGATCGCCCAACATGTTAGTTTCTCATTGCATGTCCGCCCTGTGTGGAAAAGAGGCTTTAACAGGTCAGATTGTGGGCTTATTTTGTTGCAGTTGGGTGTAAAAGATGCACCAAACAGATGTAGGATATTCTCTCAGCAAGGAAATATTTTATTCATGATTTACATGAATGATAAATCTTCTGAAAGTCTTAGTGCTGATGGGCATACACAGTTTAACATCTGTCTTCCTCAGAATAATCAATCGTATACCAGAACACTTGGGACTTAGTGTTGGATTTTTCCACTCTCTTTGCTTGATCCAATAACTTCTATAAAAGCAAAGCATTCTTAAAGACAACTATAATGATGAAAATACAGCTATATGCCCAACTGAAGAAAAACCTAGGCAAGATACAGGAGAATCTTGTCCTTGTACAGACTGTTTGTTTAGCCCTATCACTTTGAAACCATGCATCCCCAACTGTACCTATGACAGGGAATTGTGGCCTTGCATTCTAACTATAGTTTGTAATTCTCAAATGAAGATTCCTTTAATGTCTCCAAGTGAACTGTTCTGGTCTTATCGCTATAGTGTGTAAAGCACAAGGGCATCTATGTGCATGTCAGTGTGGAGATCACCAGATCATTTT